CTTACACACACCGGAAATAGAGAGGAAGGAGGACTTGCTTTCTTCAGGCCCAAACGTGAAGGGGAGCAGAGACAGGGAAGGCAGAAGGGCGGCTGCCAAGTTATAACACCATCCAGCTGTGGCCTGTTCGCACATGGCCGTGTTATTGATGCTGTTGACAAAAGGAAGCCGGGTGCATCCTTGTAATTCCCCGGCAAGCGGCAGCTTTCTAACACATGGGCCTTGCTTGAGTGCAGATAGAGTGCATCAAATCTCCATGAAGTTTGCTAGCAGTTCCCTTCATTAATCACCCCGGGCTGTCAAGTTGCAGCATGTTAACACAGGAGTCCTTTCAGATAGCTCATCCCTTGCTTGTGTCAAGACAATGTCCACAATCCATTTAGACAAAACCATGGTGTTCGGGACACCTCCCTGATCCCCCCTCTCCCAGACCCTAGGCGGCTGGTCCCAGCCCTCCACTTTTTCCTTCCTGCTTTGTTTCTGCAGCTCTCTGGCTCACAGCAGCAGGCTCAGCTGGAATAACAGCACCATTCCCTGTTTTGCTGATGCTTCCTCTGCTAATTCACTTGGCTTGCATTGACGTACGGAGAGCCCCAGGGGGCCTCCTCCCAGAGGATGTGACATATGAATGAGCACCATCACTCTGGAGCCCCACTGAGAGGCAGAGTGGATTAGATAAGCCACTTGCACAATCCGGAGGAAGCTCCCAGACAAGAGAACTCCACGGCTAAGTTGCTGCTATAGGCATGTAAAGAAGAAGGGATTTGGTGGAGGGAGTCCGACAAATTTCAGCTCTGCTGATTGCTTGTGCCACTTCAGGCAAGATGCTGAATTCGTCTCAGTTTTAGTTGCAATCTACAAAGCGGAGCTTAAAATGCCTAAAGCCTGAGTCTATGCCTTAAATGTCTGCCTCACCGCCAAAAGTTTCCTCCCACCCTCTTTACTTACTATTGTGTGTACATCAAGAACAATTAACATAAGATTTACCCCCTTAGCCAAACTTCAATTGTATGATATAGTACCGCGTAGGCACTGTGCTAGCCAGATCTTGAGGACCTATGTATCTTGTCTAACCAAACCCTTGTACCCTTTGATTAATATCTCCTCATTTCTCATTTTCTCCTCCACCCAGCCCTTGGAAACCACCCTTCCACTCTGCCTCTATGAGTTTGACTATTTTACATGTATCATAAAAGTAGTATCATGTAATATTTGTCCATTCACAAGTATATACTTAATATCCAGCCTCAACAAGTTGTATACGTTAACTATGTACAGCTTTTTGTATGTTAAAAAAAAATAGGTAAACAGGAACATTGAATTTCAAAGTATAATAAAAATTGTGAAAATGAATGTAAATGGGTTGAACAGACCATTAAAAAAAATGCCTGCCAGCCAGAGGTGAACCTACCTCAGTGCTTAAATGGGTTATTTTCCTTTCTGTTTGGTGCCACTCTTTTCAGATGTCAAAAGACTCAGTTCTGCCTCCAAGTGTCTGAGACTGTGAACAACCCACTGGCCACTCTAGGCCCCAGTTCTCCCATTTAAAGACCTAATGCACTGGACAGCATTGTCCCCAACATGCTTTTTAGCACCAGCTTGCCTTTGATTCTAAAATCCCGATAAGGCCAGGGTTAGAAGATGGTCAGAACTCTAATTTAAAAGTCGAAATTCTTTCTGGAATCTCAGAACAGTTTGCCTTCTATCGAAATTCCTCAGCTCAGATCTGCATGCTGCCTGCGCTGGATGCTCTGCCTTCGGTCAATGGGATGGCTTGCCACACTTATGTTAAACTCACTGTACACAATCACAAAAATGTATCATTTCCATTTCCCATGTCATGAGTTGTAAGTCCTGGGATCCTTTTGAGGCCTTAATCAAAGACCAAGATGTCAGAGAAAAGGCCATATGTTTTAAGTGTCAAGAGAAAGCTCTCAAGCCCTCGATAAATGACTTGCTCCTCACTGGCTGATTTACTGTTAATTTCTGCAGAAACTCCGGCAGCTTGAAAGGGCGCCAACTGTTAATTACAAGGGCTCCGAGGTCACAGCTGCTCAGTACCTCCTAAGCAGGATTTGCCATTTCCTATAGGCCTGGGGTAGGGGAAACAGTAGGGCCGGAGAGGCAGACAGGCTGGTGTCAAATCCCTCACTCTTAGACGGTCTGTGCAGTGGGCAAGTTGTAGAGCCCTCTGACCACCCTGTTTCCTATTCTGTAAATTTGAGGCAATAACAGTGAGCCCACAGGTCATTTGGGGGTTTAAAAATGATGAGCAGGCTGGGCGCAGTGGCTCCCACCTGTAATCCCAGCACTTTGGGAGGCCAAGGCAGGTGAATCACCTGAGGTCAGGAGTTCGAGACCACCCTGACCAACATGGAGAAACCTCATCTCTACTAAACCTCATCTCTACTAAAAATACAAAATTAGCTGGGCGTGGTGGTGCAGGACTATAATCCCAGCTACTAGGGAGGCTGAGGCAGGAGAATCACTTGAACCCAAGAGGCAGAGGTTGCAGTGAGCCGAGATCACGCCACTGCACTTCAGCCTAGGCAACAAGAGAGAAACACTGTCTTAAAAAAAAAAATGGTGAGCAGAAGGCAGCAAGGTAGGCTGAAGTCAGACTCACATCGCAGACTGTGGTCTCCTGGTTACGGATATCTTACTGCTTACCTATTCTGTGCCCAATGTCCCAGACACTGAATAGACCTCATAAATATTTACACTTAGTGTGTGTTGCGATGTTGAATTAATTGCTCCTATGACGCACTTTGATTGCCTTGGAGGAAAGGTGTAATGCAAAGGCCTGTGATTATTAAAGGCACAAACAAGTCAGTTCATGGAAGCAGCATCCTCAGGAGCCTTCCACTACCTTGGGGCTTTTCAAAGCATTGCCCAAAACCTGGGGAAAATGTGTTTCCAAAAGGACCCCATCCAAGGGTTGGATTGTGGCTGTGCAAAGACCTTGTCAGAGAGTGAGACCAGGCGTGGTGGCTCATGCCTGTAACCCCAGCACTTTGAGAGACCAAGGCAAACAGATCACCTGAGGTCAGGAGTTCGAGACCACCCTGGCCAACATGGTGAAACCTCATCTCTACTGAAAATACGAAAAATTAGCCCAGTGTGGTGGCGCATGCCTATAGTCCCAGTTACTTGTGAGGCTGATGCAGGAGAATGGCTTGAACCTGGGAGGTGGAGGTTGCAGTGAGCCAAGATCGCGCCATTGCACTCCAGCGACAGAGCGAGACTCTGCCTAAAAAAAAAGGAAAAGAAAATGGGCAAAGATATGTACAGATAACTTACCAAAGAAGACACATAAATGACCCAAAACCTTTCAGCAAAAAAGAAATTCAATCGCACTAGTCATCAAGGAAGTGAAACGGGTAAAATGAGTGCCATGTAGGCAAAGTGGTTCTAAGGTATAGATTTAAAGGTGGTGAGGCACAGTGAAACGATCACACTCCATGAGTAAGACTATAAATTAATATAAATTGGCACAGCTCATCCAGAAAGCTACTGAGCAATATGCAACAAGGGGCCTAGAATGCTCACATTATTTGACCCCTTAATTGTGACTGATAACATCTCTCTATAGAAAGATTCAAAGATGAGGCTTAAATATTCAAAGATGCAGGAATAATACACACGGCAACATGATTTTTAGGACTAGCAAGAACCTAAATGCCCCTTTGAAATATCAGGTAGATCAGGCGTGTCCAACCCCAGGCCACAAACCAGTACTGGTCTGTGGTGTGTTAGGAACTGGGCCGCACAGCAGGAGGTGGACAGTGGACTAGCGAACATTATCACCTGATCTCCGCCTCCTGTCAGAGCAGCCTCGGCATTAGATTCTCCTGGGAGCACAAACCCTGCTGTGAATTGCGCGTGGAAGGGATCAAGTTTCACGCTCCTTATGAGAACCCTACTAACGCATGATGATCTGAAGTAGAACAGTTTCTTCCCTTCATCCTAAAACCATCCTCCACCCCCATCCGTGGAAAATCTCTCTTCCAGGAAACTGGTCCTTGATGCCAAAATGGTTGTGGACCACTGAGGTAGATGATCAGTACCTTGTTTTTGAATAACATTTGAAGATATAGAATGTATTTGTAACATCAAAATTCTACACATTCTTTTATATTATTTTTTCAAGAGATCTTGCTAGGTTGCCCAGGTTGTACTTGAACTCCTGGGCTCAAGTGATTCCCTCACCCCAGCCTCCTGAGTAGCTGGGACTACAGGTGTCTGCCACCATGCTGGGCTCTTTTATATTATATTTATGCTGATAAAAGAAAAACTTCAGCATAATGAAATTTAAAGGAGCTTAATTGAGCAATGAATGATTTGAGAATTCGCTGGCCTTCCCAGCCAGCGGAAGCTCAGAGACTCCAGTGCAGCCACATGGTGGAAGCTTTACGGACAGAAAAAGGAAACTGATACATAGAAAACGGAAGTGAGGTGGTACAGAAACAGCCAGGTAGGTTACAGTTCGGCGTTTGCCTGATTTGAACACAGTTCAAACCATTGGCTACATTTGATTGGCCAAAACTCCATGATGGGCACAAGTGAAGGCTATTGTCTGTTTACACCTCCACTTTTTATAGTTCGTGATGTGCAGAGAAACCTTTAGGCAGAACTTAAAATACGTAAGGATGTGGTTTTAGGCTAAACTTGATTTAACAATACGTCTATGTGTTTAAATGTAGGCATACATCTTCAGGTACGTACATATACAGCTATGTACATGGAAATAACCAAAATATAATCTGTGGTGTCAATTTTCATTTTCTTCTACATGCCATTTTCTAGAAAATAGAAATATGTACAATATTTCTATATATAATAGAATAATATGTAACTTCAGATCTACAATAGTACATACATAAAGTAACTTCAGAGGCTGACTTGTGCAATGACCCTTGATGACTGCCTGTTCCTATGAGGGGGGTGGTCGGTGGAGGCAGAGCAGTGGACACTTAACTTGGTTCTCTTTTCTGCCCTAGGTCATGGCCTCACCTCAATAGTGACACAGGTGAGTTGGGGCTCTCTGCCACCTAAGTGGTGGGAATGACAGCAAGGGTCTCTTGGGCTGTTATTTCCATTCTTTTCTGTTTTCATTTCAATAAAACTATGGCCTATTCGAAATGACATTAGCTACTAATGCCATTCCTTCCAGTTGCCCCACGGTACAGCCTGATCTGTGACTCTCACAAGCTTTGGAAGGTGGCTGGCCAGATGGGGATCCTGGCTCTCTACTTAGCTGTGCAGCTTTGGATGAAGCACAGATCCTTCTGAGCCTGAGTTCCTTCATCTGTGCAATGGGTATAAGTCTACCTCAGTGCCAGTCCTGTGGCGACTCACTAATTTACCCCCAGAATATGAGTGGAAAGAATGAATGGTTCAAAAGCCAGCTTTGATGCTTCTCCTGTATCTCTCTTCATAGCCTATTTGCTCATACTAGACACTTAACAGGAGCCCATTAAAGTTTGAGTAAAAGTATGTACTGTTCATCCGGGAGGGTTATTATTTCATGGAGAGTCCCACAGAACTTCCCTAGAAAGCTGATGTCTACATAGAATGACTGGAATGAGGCAGAAAAACGGAGACATTGTCCAGAGGCAGCATGCAAAGAAGTGATGGAGTTGTGAAGAGTTACGCAACCAGCAAAGGAATTCAGAAGTTTCAACATAGAACACATTGGCACATATAACTCAGCATGTCCCACCCAGCAGCCGGGAGAACTGGGCAAAAGCAAAAGTGAAATTGGGAAATATGAGTTCACACAGGGAATGAGCCCCCAGCCTTAATCCCTCTTACAGAAAAAGTTTTCGTTCAGATTCCCAGTCAGGCCTAAGCCAGGTTATGTTCTCTCAAGGTAGATGTTTCCAAATTGTGTTGGGGTTGTTAGTATCAAATGCACCTCTCCACCTACCTGCACCTCACATCCCCTCCCACCCTGCACTGACATCCTGGAGGATAGAGAATATTCTAAGGGGGTTGTACCTGGGAATGAAGTGACTTGTCTGATGTGCTTGGTGACTGGTCAATCATACAGCGCACGGTAAAATAGAGCAGCTAGCTCCACCTGCCTGTACCCTCTTTTTTCCATCTTGCTGCTCACCTTGGTTAAGGCAGGAAAAAGTGAACAAATTGAAACCCCACAAAAGTCCATTGAGACAAAGTCTCCCAGGCCAGCTCATACACACTCAAATGCACACCTTACCAAAAACAGCAGCAAAGCATGACATTCCCAGTCTGTTAGAAATGACAGCCCAGCAGACCTATGCATACTTATGAATCAGTGAAGGCATACTTATGAACCACTACAAATGTCTACTCGAGTATAGCAGACCTGATATAATTAAGATATGCATGAGGATTTACAAAAAAGACAGTGCCTGACAGCGGTATTTATAACATTCCTAGATACTTCTGGTTGTTTCCAATTTTTTACGATGTGATTATCTGAAAACAGGAGAGGGCATTCATGTGAGAAAATACTACAGAGCCATTAAAATGATGATGATGAAGCATATTCATTGTCACGGATATGTGGATAGCATGTTATTTTGAGAAAAAGGTAAAAATAGCATACACAGAGTGATCGTATATGTATAAACTATATATCTATGATGTGCAGTGTGTGTGGTTATGTGTGTGTATCAGTGACTTGACTATAACCAAATATTTGTATATTTGTATTATTTGTTTGCTAAGGTAACATTTTAGTAATGTTTATTCCCTTCTTTTTTGTATATCTGTGTCTTATAATTTTCTACAGAAGCATATGTTTTTGTATGCTAAAAACTACCTATAAAAAAATATTCTTTAGAAAACTATTCCAAGCCTGGAGAAGACACAGACACTTAAACTGGGACAATCTGTCAAGGTCAATACTTTCTCAAAGGCTGAGACACAGAGAACAGTGCAATGTTTTCCATAAAATAAACTCATGAGTTTTTCTCCTTCCACTAAATAAAGAATGAAGTTGGAAAAGATGGCCCTATTTAGAAAGTGGGTCCTTCTGTCTTAAGCCTCCACATGTAATAAAAGCATTGATGACGATAGATATTAGCTGATTTGATTTAAAAGACAAGAAATTTCATTTTGTCCAGGAAAATGTTACTTTTTAGTTTTTCTCAGGAAAACAGTCTTCAAGGCTGATTTTTCCTTCTTGTAAAAGAAAAAAATAATTAGGATTTTAGGACAAGCGGGAGACAGGCAGGTATAGAATATGTGAGCATCCAATGCCCCCTGCTGGCTGTTTCTAGATGCCGCAATGCCTGTATTAATTTAGCGGAGGCTGGCGTCTTCCTGGTTCTCTCCCCAAGGTGTTGGGAATATTAGTGAACAGAAACAAATAAAAAAATGACAGTTGAATTTCTGGGACAAGCCAGGATTTCAAATCATCCCAAGATTGGTAAACCCAAGGATTAACATTATCTTCAAAATTCAATTACAACAGTTAAAAATCATAACTGTTAAAAATGAATATTCTCAAGCCTACTTTAGGGTTTAAGCTTTTTGGCCGGTGTATAAGGCCAGGAATCCTTACTTTTAACAAGATAGTTTCAATTCAAGTAGATCTGGGCCATTCTTCTTTAGAATTGCCAGCCCAGGGTTAAAGAGAGAGAAAGAAGAAAATTATCCAGACTGTTCCCACCAAGAAGCTGTTCTCAATTCTCGAGATAACAAATGTCTCTATATTTTGTTTGAATTTTTAAGGAGCATCCAAGTTATGGGATGGGAGGCAGCTGTCTTATCTATCACCATTCACACATTCATCCATCCATCCATTCAACCAATACGTGGTAGGTCCATATAACCAGCTTTGGGCACAGATTTTTTAAAAAAGAAAGTAAACAAAAATTAAAGGTCCTGGTGACTCAGGTGGTCTGAGAATGTATTACTGTATTTTGCAGATGAGGAAATTAAGAACTAGAGAACAGAAGTCAATTTCCAAGGGCCACCTGGTGAGAACATTATGCCTGTTTTTCAAATTTCCATTCACTGTTTCCTGTGTAGCTATTTCTGTGAGTTTGGACTATTTGTGGCTTAGAATTATTAGCTCATAATCAACAGATCAAAGAACTGCTGTTCAGTGAATAAACTGCAATGCCCAGAGAGCTAGGTCACTGAGTCTCTCTCTCTCCTCTCTCTTTATATGTGTGTGTATGTGTGTATGTATACACACACATATATATACACAGTCTTGTGTCACATACTAATGGAGATGTGTTCTGAAAAGTACACCGTTAGGGGATTTCAACATTGTGTGGACATCATGGAGTGTGCTTACACACACCTAGACCGTGTCGCCTACCACATACCTAGGCCATATACTATGGCCTATTGCACCTAGGTTACAAACAAAACACCCTGTGCAGGATGTTACTATGCTGAATATTGTAGGCAGTAATAACACAATGCCAAAATTGTTTGTATCTAAACATAGAAAAGGTATAGCAGAAATACAAAATAAAAGATAAAAATGGTACTCCTGTGTAGGACACTTACTGTCAATGGAGCTTGCGGGACTGGAAATTTCCCTGGATGAGTCAGTGAATGAGTGGTGAGTGAATAGGAAGGCCTAGGGCACTGTAAGCCAATGGAGCCATTATCATTTCTACACTTAGGCTGCCTTAAATTGATAAAACTATATTTTTTCTTCAATAATAAATTAACCTTGGGTTACCATAACCTTTACAATTACAAATGTTTCAAGTTTTGTGACTTTTTGGCTCTTTCCTGGTAAGACTTATCTTAAGCACAAATGCATTGTAGCATTTTACAAAAATATTTTCCTCTTCATAACCTTATTCCAGAAGGTATTTTTCTATTTTTATTTTTTTTTTTCATGTTTTAGCCAAAAAATAAGACACAAACGCACACATGAGCCTAGGCCTACACAGCATCAGGATCATCAATATCACTGCCTTCTGCCTCCACATCTTACCCACTGGAAGATCTTCAGGGGCAGTGGCAGGCATGGAGCTGTCATCTCCTAGAATAAGAATGCCTTCTTCTAGAACCTATCCAGAGGGACCTGTCCGAGGCTGTTTTGCAGTTAACTTTTTCTAATAAGTAGAAGGATGCTGTAAAATAACAATCAAAAGTGACCGGGCATGGTGGCTCATGCCTGTAATCCCAGCACTTTGGCAGGCCGAGGCGGGCGAATTGCCTGAGGTCGGGAGTTAGAGACCAAACTGACCAACATGGAGAAACCCCATCTCTACTAAAAATACAAAATTAGCTGGGCATGGTGGTGTGTACCTGTAATCCCAGCTATTCAGGAGGCTGAGGCAGGAGAATCACTTGAACCCGGGAGGCAGAGGTCGCAGTGAACCAATATCACACCATTGCACTCCAGCCTGGGCAACAAGAGCAAAACTCCATCTAAAAAAATTAATGAACGAAAAGTAAAAAGTATTACCTAGTAAACACATAAACCAGTGTTATAGTTAGTTTATCATTATGAAGTATTACATACTGAACATAATTGTATATGCTAGACTTTCATATGACTGGCAGCACAGTGGGGTTATTTACACCAACGTCACCACAAGTACGTGAGTCCTGCATTGTGCTATGATGTTATAATGGCTACAACATCATGAGTAATGATACAGATCCGATGAGTGGAGGAACAGCAGAGTCCTTAGTCTTGTGCCAAACTGGTTAAAACGGCGCAGACACATGTAGAGTAGTTTTAAGGAGTGCAGAGTTTAACAGGCAAGAAAGAAAGAAGGAAGAAGAAAGCAGCTCCCTGGTGCAGGGACAGAGGAATGGGGGATTTGAACAAAGAGAAAACCCCATGTATGGCAGAAAAGTGGCTGCTTACATGAGGAGGCTGGAGGAGGTGGAGCCTGATTTGCATAGGGTGCAGGGGATTGGTTTGACCAGGCCTGTCATTCATGTAGCCTGTGAAAAAACTGGCCCTCCCACTTTAGCCTTTTAATATGCAGAGCAAGGTGCCATGATGTTCTACACAAAGAGAGGGTGCAGATGTGGGGGTGGCCATGTTGGCAGGTG